ATCAGTTCACTAAACCTGTAATTTTCGTGTTATTCATCTGGTCATTTTGTTGAGGTTTGATATACTTGTATTAGTTATTCGTCGTCGTTCCGTCGGTCAAGCCAAATGGATATCTTCATCTTCCATCGCCGCTACTCCTTTCGGATCGCGGAGGCAGACATGTCAGAGAGAGCTTCCAACGTTCCCGATCCTGTGTCAGTCTGAGCTTCGGCAAAAGACAAATGGAGTCTGGAACAGACTCTTTCCATATATTTGCACCAGGGAACATGGACGATGAAGATGAAGTTATTTTACATGTCAGATGTTATTTCGCTAGCGACCTTTCCGTCGCTCGTTGCGGTGTTAAAAACGAGCCCATAAATATATTTGATGAGCGATATATATTTGAATACATAATTTACGCAATAGTTATATTCATTGAATTATGAGAATCGCGTACCAATCGCTCCGAGTAGAACTTTTCTCAAGGGCAGAATAAGTATCTTTTCCTATGACAGACAGTTGGATGTTTTTGTTACAAAGGTTTTAAAACAGCGTTGGTCATCTTCTAGCAATATTTGAATGGGGAAAGTAGTTATATTTTTATTATCTGACCATAAGCGCAGCATCAATTCTAATTTAGCAGTTCTGGTTTAATTGTTAATTAACACTTTATTGATTGATGATTTGTCCTGTAGAAGGAATATCGTTGTGGTTTTCGAAAGTTGCACTTAATTAAAGTATTTATTCCAGGCTAACCGACTTTATCTATTATGGATCAGGGCCAGTTTATGCCTTTTTGCACTGGCGTATCATTTATATTATAAATATTTAATAGTAGGTGCTGGTTCTAAAATTACAGACTATTATCAGCAAGCTAAAGTATTGCAAAATTTGATACGATCTGTTAGATGAAGCGTGAAAACCTCTTCCTGACTAAAACATGTTTTTGAAGGCACAGCAGAAATTTTTCTACAAAGCCAAGAAATGCATCTGAAATTACACAACGTGATATGCTTGAAGATAGCTTATTTTAAATTTAAAACTCGATTCCGTATATTCACCTCGAAATAATTAAATTTCTGCCTATGAATAGTCAGTTGGTTAAATTTTAGATTATCCTTAAAATCTTTAAAGGGTTAACTATACATATAAATTGTGTGAAACAAGATCCTCGTAAAGCTTGAGGTTGGAGGATAAGAGCAAAAGGTTGTCAGCGATATCTTTGCATACTGAAAATACATTTTCTTAACGGCAAATACGAAGAATGAATTGTACTTTAACTTAAACTTAAAGTCAATAGATCTATCTCTGTGAAACAGAATTCGGTTTTGTTTTTTTCCAGCAACTCCTTTTTTACCTTCTAGATTAATGACAAGTTCTCGTTCATTATCTCTGTTCTACTTTATCGTAAATATGCATTCCCCGTCTTGGCATTTCACTGTCTTCGAATACGCATGACTTGTGTTGTTTTAGAACTTTTGGCGAGCAAAGAATATTTTTCTATCGACATAAATCTTTTTGATGATGGTGAAAGTAAGTTTGTTGTTCCCGGTTCACAGTCGTCATCAAACTGACCAACTTTCAGAAACTGACGACGTGGAAGACGCAACCACTCCGTCTGAAAGCAGCTCTAGTGAACTAGATGATCAGTGGAAACATGATGGTATTTTACACATGGCCCTTTCCTTGTTGTTCTATGACGAGTCTAAGTTTAGAAGCTTCAATCACTGGTCGTCTCGATGAAACCACAAATGAAGTAAAGCAGTTTCGAAATTTTTCATTTTGCCTTTACAGATATAGATAAATCAACGATTGCTTTAATGACGTGTAGTTTGAAGACACTGTAGAGTAATATATTTCTGTCACGCCAATGTGAATCTTCTTCAGGCTTAGCCGCGGTCACGGAAATGTTCCGTAAATAATGGTGCCAAGCAGATTACGCATAATTACTGTTGATATTTAAGGTGAGAAACCAGCTGCTGCAACTGGTGTCACAGTTGACACGTTTAAAGATATTACTTGGGTTAATTCTTTACATGAATACTAAGTTCATTATCGCGAATGTCTCTGCATGTTTAGCTTTGCGTATTTCGATGCTGACAACGGCAACAACAGTTCACTGATCCTTCTTCGTAAGCTGCGGGAATCACCATTTCATGGTCTCGATGCCCACGATCGTTTGTTTCCTACGATTTGTCGTCATAGTCTTCCACATCTCGTTTAGTTTATCTTTCAATTTGAGCTGAGGCCTTCCATTGGGTACCAGTCCATCGCTGCTTAAGTCCATTGGGTTAACCACTCAGTCGTTTGATGACCGCCGTAATCCAACTCAAGTTGTGCGAAGGCGACTGAGGACAGTTTTTGTTTGTGTTTTCATTCCATTCCATGAATTTAGCTACTTTCCACGCTTGTCAGACGTCTTGGACAGAACGTCATTTACCTTTCACCTAATCGAATGAGGTTCCAGGTGATCGTTCTTTGAGGCTTGTTGGGACTTGGCTGGCGCAGCGTTTTCTCGTTGGGTTCTGGCACAGCCACTTCTCCACCGAGTAGTGCCTCATCTTACTTAGACGTACTGCAATATATTAAACGTGATTTGACAGTTGTTGACATTTTAGGTCACACGGAGTCCATCTTCTTAAGGCCTAACACAAGTGCGGAATTCCATATCGCACATTCCGATTATCCTACGGTTTTGCTTGGTGCCATAAACCTCGCTGTTTTCGTTACTTGCATTGCGTCCATCTTTATGATTAATAATTGGCTGACCAAAATAAAAGTATGATTTAGTGTAACTGTCTTATCTTACGTTGAATTCGAAAATTCATACATGTCGAATTTTTCATGGTGGGGAATCGTAAACTTGCGATTATTTGACGGACTAAGCCTATTATCCACATCTAGGTTTCACATTACATTACTGATTATTCTAGGCCTTTTTTGTATAGGTACTATTAACGACTAATTTAGGATGTTGCTGAGGTTCGTACAAAGGATTCTACGGAGGAATCGACAGTCGGTAGTTTTGGCCAGTCACAGAGCGATGCGAATTCTGATCAAGTTACTAAGGAGGGAAAAGTAGAATTTGAAGAAACGGCTAAGAATTTGATTGAACCAAAGCTGAAAACAGCAGGTGAACAAACACCTGGTGCAACGACGGCGGGTTTTTCTGAGGAAGGAGCGAAATCAGGGCAAACCAGTGAAGGCGCCTTTGTTCAGCCACATTCCGAGGAAACTGTTGCTACTGATCCTGGTGATGTGGCGAAATCTGACTTATTAACGGATAGGTCAATGCCGGAATCCCTAGGCAAGGCTCACACACCAGCCAAAGGCACCCCCGTCTCAGAAGAGGACGACCGGTCATCGGACAACGACGAGGTAATCGAATCCGCAAGGGATGCAGCGCAGCCAGCTGTAGACAAATTGCGAGTTTCCGTTGACAATATTGCTGCAAAGTATACCAGCGAACGGATGCGCCGAAAAGTTCTCGCCCAGTCTCAAACTATTGAAAATGCGATTCGTGATCAATTGAAGGAGGAGGTGGAAGAAGCCAATGACAGGGTGGCTTTCGAGGGTAAATTTAATATGCTTTCGCCATGTTTATTTATGAGAATATGGATATGCAATTCTTTTTATAATCGTTTACTGCTGAATGAATATCGAGTCGCAGTTGTATAGGCAAATAGAGATATAATGTCGGATTGAGAAGGCGTTTTGAGGATGCACAGAGATTTATGGTGATGATGAATACGTCCGCCCGTCTTTGGGCCTGCGTCCTTTAAAATTGCAGAACGTAGATATGCAGCCTGCAAGTTGAGGCATCGCACAAGAATAACCTATCGATGAATGTAGTTTATTATTATTATACGGTTGAGCGTCAGTTTGACAAGTGAAATAACCTGGGTTTGAGCCTCGGTAGGATCACTCACCTTTCATTCGTTTGAGTTAGGTATTTTGATCTTACTTCTTGTAAAGAAAATAGGAATCCTCGTTCTATATTCTTCGCCTAGATGTAGATATAACCTTAAAAATGAGCAGTGGCAAGTTGCTCCAGACTGATGACACAAAGACAAAAATTTGCGCCGCACAAAAAATGCTCTCTGTCATGAAAGTTTCTTAGAAACTTACATCCCGACGAATACAGACTTTTCTTCCTTTTTTCTTTCAACCCACCATCAAAAGTTTTTTCTGCTGAGGACCGTTTAATCATGCGACAGGAACAAATGAAAACTTATAATTCTTGTCTTTAAATTACTTAATCATTAATTAAAGATGTAATGAACAATGAATTTGTTTTTATGACGGAAATATTTAGGTAGAAAAATGAAGATCAAAATAATTTCTCGATTGCCCGATAATCAAGACGAAGACGATTTCGAACTGTTAAGTCCAAAAGAAACCAGACAGATC